TATGACAAATTAACATTCGGTTTAACATTTATTTCACTACTTGAAATAAATTTACTAAGTGGTAGAAGACTTTTCTTCTACGCCACTTTTTCCCCTAGCGGAAGCCGAGTTTGCTCGTGAGGGTACCTCTGTGGTTCCTACGCTAAGAAACAAACGCTGGATAGCAAATAGACGCGCGTGCGCGCTCATTCTCGGCAAACTACGAGAGCTCGACGAGAGCTAAAGGAGTTTTTGCCGAGGGCGAGTCTCGGAACGCGAAGAATTCGCCTCGAGCTACGAGGAAATTCGTTCGAGCCGTTTCACCGAGCCGGCGGAATCGGACATATCCGGCGTACCTGATCGTCGTCGTGGAGGCCACTATTTTGCCGGGCTTTTTCTCGCGATATTGCTTGTGGTCGCGTGGTAAAACGATTTTTCAGAAGGATCTTCATCCGATCGAACGGAACGAATCCGAATCGTTTCAGCAAAGACGACGAGTTTGAAAACTAGGGGAACGTGAACGAGACTGAAGCAAAAAAGAAAATATCAAATTCCGGTGTAGGGATGAGATACAAGGATTACTGAGCGGTTAAATGATAACCGGTTGGACGTTTTGTTCCGTTCCCTTTGTCCGTCTTGTTCGACGCACATGATCTGGATCACAAAGCTGCGTTTAGTCGGTTTTTATTATTCGAAATTCGAATTTCGAATCTCGAACATTATGAAAATGAAGAAATTGGTTAATTTATGAATTTGAGTATTTTCGAAAAGGTTATAATTCGAAAGCATAATAATAAAAATAATGTGAGAGGGTATTATATACGCCCTTCGCAGGAAAAGGATCAAGCCGTTTTAAGTCGTCCGTGTGCTACAATTTGGGCACCGATATAAACCAAAGATGGGCAATTCGTTGCCCAAGTACAAAATGTCGAATAACGAATTAAAAATAAAAAAAGTGCTTCGCCATTTTTAATAGCATAACCGTGAAAATTTCAATTTTTACAATAACATAATTCTTTCTCCTCGAACGGGTATATACTTGGCAAACAATTATTTCATTTCATTAACCGTTCAAAGACCAGGATGACGATCCCATATACTCTGTTCTCCACGAATAAAATTGTGCTTTCCGATATAAACCAATGAATCCTCGTTCGTTTTGCAAGACAAAGGGAGAAGACGGGTGCACCAAGAAGGGTGCTGCTTTCCAGAGGGAATCTGCGATCGATTACGGTTACACGTACACTTGAAATTCGTACCATCCGGTCCGTTACGGGAGAAATCGAGGCGAAGGTCCGCGTTCCGTGATCGTTCCCGAGATCGTGAAACTATTCGAGCGATTCGCGTTCCGCGAACGGAAACCAACGAACCGCGTCTAATCACCGTACGTGCAACGCGAACAACAGGTTCGATCTATGTTCACCACGCAGCAACGATCGCTCCGCTACGACGAGATCGTCCACCTTTACTTCCGCGCTTTCCCATCGGCTTCGTCGTCTCTCCACGTCCCAGAACCGTCCTCAGACGTGTTTGTTGACTCTTTTTATTTTCGAACGAGTCGCATATACACACGGGCCGCTTTAAACACACGGACTTTCGCGCTTCCCGTCGTCTCTTTACGCAACACCGATCTTTAGAAACGTTCCAGGAGAATGTAGGCCGTAGAGATCGGCGCGTATCCTCCGTGTGTGCGTGTGTACACGCGCGGATTGTATCTGCGTTACTTCGGTATTTGCATTCGACGCCTAGTATGTACATAACGTACGTAGCGGCGAGCTAGGCCGATGTTACGTCGCACAGTGCCGTTGAGTATGCAGGCGTTCGGGACAGATATCATAACTTCGGAACTAATCAATTTTTCACCCAAGTACTTTAAGACTTCTTTTTAAGGAGGATACAAAAACGCATCGATTGGTGCGTATACAAAATACAGGGTGTCTCAAAATAGATGTATGTCCTTGAAAAGGGTGATTCCTGGGGTGAGACAACTTTTCGAGTTATGGATGATTCAAGAAACTGTTCGGAGTGCACTGTCTCAACCCATATAATTTATACTTTTGAGGCCATTTAAGAACTATTTTGCATTCAATGCAAGTGAATAATGTGCACGATCTGTAACAAAGGACAGCGAATGGATTTCAGACTATTCGAAGAATACCTGGTATTTTTGAACAAGTGCGGAACTCAATACCACGGCGTGCAGTAGTGTGCGTTCAGGCACGAAGAGTGCATATCCGACGTTTTCTTTAATCATCCATAACTCGAAAAGTAAGGTCACAGACGAGGTAAGTATACGAGTAGACATTTCATCCAATGTATTTTTGCGGCCCACTTTTCTGGGGTTAGGTCACCCCATTTCCATTTTAGTGTCACTACCCACCGCAGATTCACCGTTCTCAAAACGTAGAGGTCGCTAAAATCATAAGCATTTCACGGTGTCGGTACTAAGGTTAGGTGGGCCACCAACTCCCATAAGATGAAAGGTCTATTCTTATACCTCGTCAGTGCTAACATATATCGGACAAATGTTCATACAACATCATTCACCTGTTTCGTCGAGTAGATTTACCTCCTGAAGTAACGATATGTATTTATGAATCATCCTGTACACCTGTAACAGCCGCGTGATTACGCCTCTCACAATCCAACCGTTGCATTCCACGGATTAATCTATCGGACCGCAGAGAATACTTAGCCTGTTTCGATTTTCCTGAACGGTGAACGCACGCACGCCGGTAATAACGTACGGGTCGCGGAACAAGTCGCGCCAGTTCATGCGCGCGCACGCGAGCGAGCTCTTTTCGTTTGCCGACTTTCGGATTTTTTTTTGACGAATTCCGTTCACGGAGCCTCGTTAAACGAATATTTCGGTCATCGAGACGAGGCGTCGAAGAAAGCGAAGAGAGAACGCGAGCGAAGAGGAGGACAAAAACGGGTTGACGGGCTGGTTCGCGGGGCTGAGTCCCGCTCTCACCTGATTTATCGGATCTCAGGCTCGTCCGCGTCCCGCGGGGAAGACTTTCTTTTTCGCGCAAGGACCGCGACCTCGATCCACACCGATCCCGTACTCGATCCCAGCCGATCGGTCACGCGTTCTTCCCACCATTCCCGATTCACCTGTTCTCGACCTGTCCGGATCCGTCGACCCGTGTCCCCCGCCCTCGCAACCAGTGTACTCGCTCCTTTACTGATTACTGAACTGCGGATATTTATGCAAATATCGATTTTTATGGACTAATTTATAAAGATTGGAATGCGATAGAAAGTTGATAGCCTTTTAGAGGAGTCGGCAAAAAATAAGAATCTCAGTAAACTTTATAAAAACTGTAACTGTGTTGAATATTAAATAATCGCGTGTGTGATGAATGCATAAAATCCGCAGTCTACTGATCACCGTTGGTATACAGGGTGGGGCATTTCTCTTGAGACATGGAAATATCAGAAAAACAAAGCGTTTCGTAAGAAAGTATTTTAGACAATACAGGTGAAACGTGTTTCTTCTGTATACACTTCACATATACTTTTTCATTGAATTTCGATCGTAGTATTTCATCAATATTATCTGTTAATAAATATCACTCATGTTCTTCTATAACAATTTCAATATATCTGCTCTTAATAAGCAAACCTTAAAAAAAAATCGATAAAGACCATTTTGTATAAAAAATATGTAAAATTATTGGTGGACGATTTCACAGATTTGCATCATCATACGAGTGTCCGGTCTCTTCTGGACGGTACTTAGTGTACACATGAGCCTGGTAACGTCGATACTCGTAGCCTCGAGTAAACAATCGCGACGTCAGGATGGGAACACGGATGGATCCCAAGGGTGACGCGCGTCCGAGCATCTCGAGTGTGTACGCGTTCGAGGAACTTTCTCTTCGACTTTACGCAACGTCGAGTTTTTCATTTACAGAGAATCGACGTGTGGCGCCGCGGCACGACACGGTTGCGAATCGTCGGTCGTTGCTCGAAAATCGGTGACTCGAGAATATACTTACGAATATAATTACGAATATAATTACGTATAAAAATAAAGAAGACACACGATTGCGTCCAAGAAAGAAATTTCACGTGTCTTTCACTGCCGTTCGAAGTCGAAAAACCGAAGTCGATTCGCGAACATCGTGCCGGTCTCGGCGATCGATCGTGTGTCTCTCGAACCAATTCGAAACCGTTAGACAAAACCCGTTATCGCCGGTATCGCGGTTGCCCGGCTGCATAGCTGCGCTTCGACGGACTAGACTCTAGTCACTAGAGATCACGCCGTCTACGGTCGAACGTTCGGCAGAAACGAATTGGAGGAATAAAATCGGTTCGTTTGCCAGCGTTCATAGAAGTTGGAAAAAGGGAAGGCACGGAAGTGTCCCCCTCCGATTTTGATGAAACTTCGTATGCCTGCTAAATAGTCAAAAATAAGGGATACGTATTTTTTTTTATCGGCTGAGATGCGAGTTTAAGGGATGAAACCACCCCTCGAAGTTTCGATCCGAAAATTTTTTTTATAAACAAATTATATTTTGGACAATCTGTTAGCACTAAATTGTTCTACATAAAAAAACCGCGAACCTCGACCATTAGAAGTTTTCATGTATCTCCTCTGGTTTTCGAGATAGTACTTTCGGGTCAATAAAGACATTTTTCGAAAATAATTCTTTTGCCATGGTATCCTAATAATTTACGTAGAATGAACAGAAGAATCGATCTATGCAACAAACAATATCCATTTACATTTAAAGAAACGATACAATTGTTAATTACACATGCACCGGTTGAACTTTTAAAAAATGTAAAGACCTACAGATGTGTAGTGGTCTTCGAGCCATTTATCTTTCTCCTTTGGCATTTTTTCATAAATGCAATAACAACGAAATTATAACCTGAAACGATTGCGTGTACAGCGGTGCAAGGGCCTCAAAATATTCACCCGTTCGATGTTTCATGCGACAGATGCGAGGTGAAGGAGGGTCCGCGTGTCTCGTAAGGATTCGCCGAGGCAGACATCCTAGCAGGCAAAGATGGGCAACAACGGGAGTAGCTCCCGGAACGAGCAGGCGGCGGCGATGCGCACGAACGGGTTGCTGATCTCTGAGACGAGCCGCGGCTGGTCGCAGTCATTTCCGCGGGAGCTGGCCAGGCATCGGTCGCAGCCGACGACAACTGCGCGGAAAGTGTTGCCAGAGCCGCCAAATCAACGATTAAGGGCGACGAACAACGGAAGCATCATTCACAACGGCGGCACGATAAGCGGTCGCCGAGCGCCGACGTTCGCCTCGTCGCGCGACCTCGCGAAGGTAAACGCGCGTTTCCATCGATCACGATTCTCGATCGAACGGTCGACGATGCTCGGCCGTTCGGGGGACCAGAGACACGCTTACAAGTCGGGTCGTTCGTTTCAGCGAGACGGCCAGTTCCGCGGCAGGAGTACATCGGCGTCGAACGTCGCCACGGAGTCTCGACAGGCGAGGATCGAACGTTGCCGATACCAGGCGGTGGACACGAGTCGCCGGCAATCGGAGGCGACCGGTAGTTGCTCCGAGTTGAAACGATTCGGCAGCGAGCCCGATCTTCGTTGCTCCCCCGTGCACGGGGTCGCGTATTTACAGAATCGAGGCAGCCTCGGTAGTCCGATCGGTGGGGAGGAGGATCGATCTGGGAACCGTCGCCGGGTGGAGAAGGATATCGAGGACCGTGTCGAGAGCAGATACAGAGCGAAGAAAAAGTACAAAGCCCCGGCGCCACCGACCACGTTGCTCGGGGCGGGAAATGATTCAACTATCTCGGCGGATGTTCGTTGCTCCCTCGACACGGATGCCCGTTGTCGGCTCGAACGGAACGTTCAACCGCCGCCCAGACGGTCCCGACTGTTCAAGACTCGGGCGGAGACGAAAAAGGCTCGGGTCGGATGGCAGATGACCGGTCTCGAGAGGACCAGGCATCGTCACGATCTAGAGACAATACCGTTCGACGAGGAGAACACGCGAACTTGCGACCAACAGCTGGATACCGATCGACCTCGAGGACCACAAGATCGGCATCCACGCTCGGATCTGTTAGATGGCAAGAACACGCTTCGAAGAAGCGTCAGTAGCCCAGAGTTTCAAGCGGAGTTGATTCAGGTGGCAAAAAGAGTCCGTGACAAGCTCACCTGCTCGAGGACCCCACCGATTGTTGACCAGACCGAGCCGAGCATCACCGATACACGCTCGTTGGATCGTCGTTACGATACCCCTGACGGCGGGATCGGTGACGGTTCTAACGGTCGGGAACGGCTGGAACCGACCAGTCTGGAAGCAAAAAACATTTTCCAGGATTCGAGGAGCCGGTGTCGTCGTACGGGGGACGAATCGGAGGACACGCCTTTCCGTCGCGATCCGGAAGCAGACGATAAAATGACCCAACCGTGCATCGATCGTGATCGAGCCGGAAGACCGTTACGGGAACGAATCGATCGGAGATCAACGGATCGTACGGTATTCCATCGACGATCGAACGAACCTGAGAAAAAGGTGGATCCTAGTGGCGCTGCCGACGAAGAGATCGGTTGGAACGCGTCCGAAGGTTCGTCGCCGCGTCGCACGAAAGAACCAACCGATGTTCAGGCTTGGCTGCCGGAGAAGATCGAACGGAAGCTGGAGGACAAGGAGAATTCTGATCCTGGCTGGTGGAACGACGGTTCGGCTGGTAATCGACGCGCTCGTTCGGTCGAGAAGGAACTGGATCCGAAAACGTTGGAGGAACGTCGCCGAGAACATGAACAGCCGTAGGTTTAATTTTCACTTATCTTTCGTTTTTTTCGCATATCTGTTTTGAGTGGGAATAACGCCGTTGCTCGTGTCGCATTCATCGAGAAGACAGTGTAGATATCTTTACTGGAGCAATTGGCATCTCTTCTTAAATCTAAGTAGTGGCAGTGAGGTTCTGGGGATCTGCGTTTTGTATGAATGACTCAGCTATACAGGGTGTCCGAAAATAGCTTCGACTCCCGGAATTGTTGCGTTCCTGGGATCATTTGAAACAAGTTTTTCCTTAGCAAAAATGTTATCCGAGGCTTTGTTAACGAGATATTAACGAAAAGCCCCGACCAATCAGAGCGCGCGTCTGTCAGCCGAGTTCCCGCGGTAACGTTGAATACGATTGGTAGCCAACGCTACCGCAGGAACTCAGCCGGCAGACTCGCGCTCTGATTGGTCGGGGTGTTTCGTTAATATCTCGTTAACAAAGCCTCGGATAACATTTTTCCTAAGGAAAAACTTATTTCAAATCACCTCACGAGTCTCCCATTTCCGGGTCCTCCAACATTTTTGTTACACCCTGTATTTCCATGTGTATGGTACCACCTAACGAATCGATTGTTTCGGGTTGAATCTGTAGATTTGTCGCGACGTCTCAAACAGCCCCAAAAACATTTTACTTCGGCATGAACGAGCTTCGACCGCCACCTCCGCCCCCACCACCGCCGCCATTGATCGTGGAATGTCGTTACGGGATCGACCAACCAAGGGGTGAAATGCGGTCAGAGTTTCGGGACGGTGAAGACGGCAGATCGTCCGTGGGAACCGCCGAGGATACGGACGACAACTCGGTTAGTAGAAATCGCTTCTCCCTTGGCTTTCTCTCCTTTGTTTACCGTCGATTAGCGTGTTTCAGAGCCGAAACGTGGCGGATGATATCTCGCTGAGACTGCGACCGACATTACCGAAGAAGCAGCTGGAAATCCCGCGATTCTCCCCGTCAGCGGCGTGGAGATTGCTCTCGGCGCTGGAAACGCCGGGACCAAGCACGAGCACCGCCAGCGAAGAAATGCCGGTTAGCGAAATGCGTCACCAAATAAGACCCATAGATATAGAAATATACAGGGTGTCCCAAAATAGTTTCGACTACCGGAAATGAGGAGTTCTTGGGATGATTTGAAGCAACTATTTGCTAAGGAAAAATTTCAAATCACCTTACGATTCTTCCATTTCCAGGTCCTCCAACACTTTTGTTACACCCTCTAGAACCGATACATAGAAGCTGATACAAGAACCTCAACTGAAACTGATATAAACCTGCAATTTAGGTTCTTTATAATAGTTATTCATAATAAAGGTTCTTCGTAACTGTTTCGAGAACCTAAATCGGTATCATAACAGTTTTCAAGACCTGAATTGTATCGAGTAACAGATTAACCGTTTCCAGGTGATGTTCGAGGAACGAATCGAACGGCTCTCGCGACCACCGCCACCGCCACCTCCGCCTCCATTGCTCGCGCTCGGTCCACGTAGCTCGCACGATAAGTCTGGTGACTCTGGAATATCCGGGGACGCTGGCGCAGTCAACGAGGACTCGTTGGACGTCAGCACGATCAACAGAATGAAAACAACCGCGACCAGACCGACTTGGACGCCGCAACAGGATCTTGGCGAGGAATCTAGCAGCGACGCTGGTGTCGATTCTCCCTCGCCACTGTCCACCCCGTTCAAGTATCATCCTGGTGCGCGTGTATTTTCTTTGTCGTTGCCACGGGAAGATCCCAGAATGTATCTGACCAGCCACGAAACGAAAGCTAGAGAGGGAACGGCGTTTAATTCGCTGAAGAAGCTGAAGAGGTCGATGTCGGGAGCGTTCGGTATCGGCGCGTTCGACTTCCACAGGAAACAGGGGGCGCAAGAAGTTCTCGACGACAATTGGTTCTTGTCAACGAGCGCGCCAACATCGTTGCAGCACGGCCAACAGGTCGAAACCACGCGATTCTCGTCCGCTTGGAAATCGATCGTGGTCCGTGAACGCGTCTCAGACCCAGAGGACAGCAAGGAGAGACCTGGTAATGTAAAGAAGCATCGGGATAATGATCACGACGACATCGATATCATCGACGACGACGATGACGTGGAGAACGATTGCGAGGAGGAAGAGGACGACGAGGAAGCAGTGAGGAATGCGCTTGGCGACGAGGAAATCGAAGAGTACGCGGACGATGAGGAGACAAACGACTTTCCTGTTGTAATGAAACCTCCGTCTTTCTCCTACCTGGCCCCAGGTGGACACGTGATGTACCTGCCGGAATCGAACGAGGCGAAACGCCGAGTGCAAAGCTTGAACGACCGGAAAATCAGCTGCTCCGAGTACGAGGATCATCACGAGAAAAGCTGCACGAAAGAAACGTTTAAATCCATAGAGAATGGCCACCGTCGTACACATGATCGCGAAGTGACGTCGAAACGACGTTCCAAAAGCTCCAATGAGAATTTCGTCATCGACGACACGAAGGATAAAAGGGAATCGCTTGTCCACAGTCGAGATTCAGTGAAGGGTAACAGCGGGGTGAGCTCGTCGACGTCGAAGGAGACGAAATCGCAGGGGAAAAACGGCCAGAAGAGCAAACGATTCACGTTTCAGTCGACGGTCAGGCAGATCGAGAGACGTCGATTGGCCGAGAAACTGTCGAAGGAGGCCGAGGCGAAGGAACGTCAACGGAGGGGCGAGCTCGAAGCGATGCGGAAAGTCGAGGAGGAGTTTCAGCGGAAACGCGCGAAAGAGAAGGCGAACATCAGACAGCAGTTGCGTCTGTTCAAGGAGATGGAGGAGAATTTCAAGTAAGTGAAGAAACGCGCAACGGCCCATCCTACGCGGTAGAATTAGGGCATCATTTGGACTGGCCTGCGGTAGAAGGAACGATTTCCAATGGAGATTTCGTGATTCCAGCAACCTGGCGAGCACCGAATGGGATGGTTCGCGGGTCTGCCGCGCGGAACCAGATGGCGCGCCATCTTCGACCGCCTCTTCGCCAACATGGATGCCAGCGGGAAAGGTCCCGACGCCGGGAAAAAGCTTCGAACCGCGGAACGAACATCGTCGGAAAAGGGATTCGGGTTCCGGTTCCGGTTCGGACTCGAAGCAACGCCGCGGCGAGGTGTTGACTGGCTATCGACCCAAGTATTACGACTGGGCGCCCGACAGCTCGTCGCATCTCGAGAGTAAACAAACCACCGTTCATCCAAAGATCGTTTGCGATATCCCAAAAAGCTCACCGGTTTTTATTGAAGTGAACGCCCATCCGGGAAAACCGGCGACGACCTCCAATTCCACGCCGAGGTCCGACAATTACAGGTAAGGCAGACCGTGAATCGGGCACAATTTTATTCGAATAATACACTGCTCATCAACATTAAGGGACCACTAAAATTTGCCGAAAATTTTGGTCATGGTCAAATGACTATATCTCCGCGAAAAATAGTTATAAAAAGTATTGTAAACCACCGATTTGTAGCCTGAAGTTTCTAGCTTTTGAATCAGGAAATTAATAAATTATGTTCGATCCGTAGGAAGGATTTCGCGCACGGCGCGATGATAGCTAAATCCTCGTTCGCCAGCAGCGACAGCGAACTCTCGCAGCCGAACACGAGACCGCATTCCAGGGAGACCGGAGTTAAAATGAAATCCCATCGATCTAGGTACGTTCAACAACGATACCCTCGATAAAACGAAAAAGCCTGAATCCCCCGCCCCCACCTTTCCCCGTCCGAGAACCTCGATCGGGACCGATCGTGTGAAACGTGTACCTGCTGCGTCTGCGCGCCGTCGGCTTTCACGAGCGAGCATCGTTACGTCCGACCGACGATCGAACCATCTTCTAAGTCAGCATCGAAAATTTTTGTCACAACGACACTCCTCTCCAAGCATAACGGACACGTGCGTTAACGTTCTGACGGGACGATAACCGAATGATGTTCGCTTAACAATCGCCTGTGCGGGTTGGCTATCGTTTTTTCTCCAGGGTTTCAGTGCTGGGCATAATAACGCGTAACACGTACAGTTCTTAACGCCTCTAGTCATCTAACAACGCTTCGGTAAAGCTCTAAGCGAGAGAGAATGCTTGATTACAGCGCATGATTTCGTGTGACCTTGGCGCGAGCGACATTTCAATTTGCTGGTTGCGAGAAAAAAAAAACGATTAAAAAGAAAGGGGATGCGAATCGTTGCGCGAACGTCGAATCGACGCAGGGCTTGAGAGAGTTGCTCGATTGAGTGGAAACATTTTTCCGTGGCGGTCGTCGATTCGACGCGGCGACGTTTCGTTTTGGGAACGCGCCTCGTGCGGCCCTCGAGCGAATCTCGGCGGAAACGGGTCGCATCAGCTCGACGATTCGCATAGAATAATAGGTACACCTCCGTCCACAAGTCACCGGAACACTTGATTATTTTGTGAAAAATAAAAAGAGAAATCAAAATTAGAAAATAATAATACAGTTAATTAATACTGTGGAATAATTGTGGCACTGATGAGCAAAAAGTTTAAGAATAACCGTAAAAATGAACGAAGTGGTGGTAGTGATGAAATTATACAAAAAACCAACTGCATCTGATGGAAGTATCATTTTTTCCTATATTTCACAGAGCCCTATAGACTATTAATGCATAAAATCCGCAGTCTAGTGATTATATGTAGACTGATTTAAGTGGAATCAGAGCATAACTTTTCAAAAGTCACTGTTAAACTGCCAGGATTCATTCGGATGAAAATTCCCGAAAAAATGGACACATATTTAGGATTGTACACAACCCAGAATATAATTTAAATTTTCTCTTCAGTGTACAAAATTAATAATACTCAGTTTTTTTCTTAATTTAAGTGACTTTTGTAATATTAATTCTGCGTTCAGTAACATAAGTGTCCGGTGACTTACGTAGTCGTTAAGAGGAATCGTCGAATCGCGAACCGTTTCCGCCGACTCGACACGCGACGGATCGACGAATACTAATGGCACGCAGACAAAAAAAAAAAAAAAACACAGCGAACGAACGTTAAGCAGGTCGGCAAGTCTGGAACGAAGCGAGGACGGGGCCACCTCGGAAGAGGATTCCCCGATGGAACCGGTGAAACGAGCGAGGAACCCTACGCACGAGTTCTTGCTAGGCGGCGTGCAACCGTTCACGAGGAAGAAGAGCTATCGGCCGATTTCCTTCGATCTTCGCCCGTCGCCGCCCATTCCGAGTTAATCAGAATACCTACCGGAGGACCCGAAGATTTCGATCGTTCGACCGCGTTTGCCATTCACCGTGCCGCCGGGACATTAAACATTCCGACAGCGTCGATACTCGCGTCGGTTAGTCCGCTGATCGCTAAACAACGAACGACGCCTCGTTCGTTGGCCACGGAATATCCGTCGGCCAATTGGCGAGGCGGCGAACTTTAGCGCGCGAGCATCCTCCCGCAATAGGATATTTCTTTTGCGCGAACCGTACATTCGCGCATATGTACTATATTGTTACATGATCGTGTAATAAAATATTACATACTTTGTTGCATTTGAATTTCGACACGTTGCTTTCCATTGATGGAACGGGATTGGACAGACTGTACGCATGCGCGCGCGCATGCGCGTGGACCAGGTAGCTTCGTCGACTGGCAGTTGAATTGCAAGTGTGCATTGCTAAATTGTTCGATATAAATTCATATTATGAACCGTATGAAGAGTACCACAGGACGTGTGTCTGCGTTCTCGCAGGTCAGCGGATCGAGGACGAATACAAGTACCGGAACCACGCCATCCAGCCTTGTAGTGTACGAATAATCCGGCCATTTCACTTTCTTCACCGACGAGCAAACTCCACTAGGAGACAATGTGACGTAGGGAAAAGGCTTCCTACCACTTGGAATTATTAAAATTTATGTCAAATTAAAATTCAAATTAACATTTATTTCATTACTTAAAATAAATTTATCAAGTGGTGGGAGGCTTTTCTCCTTCACAACTTTTTCCCCTAGCGGAAGCAGAGTTTGCTCGTGAGGGTTCATGTTTCCTTGCTTCCCAGATAGCACAGAACTCTTCGAAGACGCCCATTTTACGGCTATTTTAGGTCTAAGACGTCTTTAAGCCGTCTTCAAGGCGTCATGCGCTATCTGGGTTTGCACTTTCCACGATAATTGACCGATCTCTATTATTTACCACGCACAGACGATCCGAGTTCGAATGTTTACTCTCAGAAAGTAGCGACGAGGAAGAATCGTCAAACGTTGAAGATCTAGCCCCGATCCAACAGCGATCTGGCACTCGGGCAGCGAGTAATTCGAAACTTTCAGGAAACGCCGTTTCCGTGGACCAGGACGAGGTAGGTATATATACATGTTCGAAATTGAGAAAGCTCGAATTCAATCGTACGAAACACCTCCTCCGTGCACGTAGATTATTCTAGCGGTAGTTTGGAATAAGAATCGGCTCGGTGCCGCGTACTATAATCTCGCGACGTCCGAGTTATTCGTAATTGAGGACACTGGCGACGACGTCGAGAGCTTCGAGGTGACGAAAGCTATGTACAGACAGAGCAGGCCGCGTTACCTGATCACGATTTCCGGCACGCCGACTCCATTCACGAACGCATTGAAAAAGATGGTGATCGGAGCGGAAAGCCTCGACGAACAAGGGGAGCACTCGTGCAACGTTACGTTAAAGATTGTCTGCAAAAAGGAGCACAATTACGAACGGTGCTCCAACAGAGTAAGGTGCCTCCGATTGGAATCGGAACCCAGGAGCGCGGATAGGATCACCTTTCTGAACAGCGTCCTAAATTTCAAATGTAACACGATGATTCACGCGTTGGGATCTCTGTTGCTCTTTATCGACAAACATTGGAACGACATCGCCCTTGATCTAGCCGGGAAACCGTGCTTCCTATCCCTCAACTACATTACGCTGTAAGCATTATTGTTTCTTTTTTCCCATTTCATTTTATTCTGCCTTTTAACCTTTCGATCGATTAAGGTGGCTCACGCAAGTTTTTTATAAATATCAATTTAGTTGACAATTTAACAGAACCAGAAATTCGAGGCTCTCACACAGCCTGGCATCATACAATTCTCACTGTTGAGGCTTTCGGGTGTAAGCCATGCTCTTATGGAATTGTTTTCCAAAAGTTTCGCAAGCATTGCAGCTAGCTTCATCAGGAGCTCGAAAGGCACATAAATTGGTAAAATTGATCAAAAGTATAAAGCGCCAAATGGAGCCCCAGCTAAATACAACACGAAACGCGTTAACTATCTTAATCTCTGTCCCTGTACTTCATACTTCCGACCACATATCGGCTCGTGTGTCTTTTTCACGAAATCAAGACAAGATCTGGTCATGGTGGACGATGACACGTACAAAGCCCTCAACATCGTACAAGCCAGGGATCATCCTAGTTTCTTTAAATTTGGGCAAACCACGACGAAAACCGGAGGCGCGAGTCTATTCTCGTTGTTCCATCGTTATTGTCACTCGAGGCCGGGAGTGCATTACCTATGGTACGCCGTCGAGTGTACGATCGTTAACCGATTTTATCGACGAGCATCCTTTCCCCCATCATTATCATTCGTAGGAAAACGCTGCAGCATCCGACGCGGAACACAAAGGTGCTGGAGCAGAGATTGAACGCGGTGCAATTCTTTCTGGATCCGAGCAATCTAAGCATAGTCGAAAATTTGTCGTCGTGCTTGAACCACGTGTATCGGCTGACCAACGCCATAATGGCCTGTTGCGCAGGACCGCAAGCGAAGGCGTCGAACTGGTACAAATTGCACAAGGTAAACGATCCTTCGATGCAAATGATTCTTCTCGAACACTCTGGCTCGATTTCCCTGTCCGTGTTCTATCGACCTTACGAATCCGATCGATTCTTTCAGACTGTCTCCCAGGTGATCTGTATCGCCGATCTGTGCGAGGATCACGCGGGCGGAATCGAGATTTTCAAAAGAATCATCGAGAACGCGACAAACGAGATGCGTTACGTGAAATACTTCGTCGAGTACATAGTGGATTTCGGGGAAAGCAGACGAGAGAGAAAACTTGTCGTGAAGCCGAACGTCGATCCTCTATTGGACGAACGTGAGCGCACTCTCGTTTATTCTTTGATCCGACAGAGGACTCATTAACCCTTGTGTAGGCAACCAAAATATTCATCGTTATTGAGCAATCGGAATACAATTCTGACACATTAGACTTAGTTTTCCCTTCCTATAATATACCAAGTGCTGTTCTAGACAAGAACATAAAAAATTGTGAAAGGAAATTTAGAAATAGGTACCTGAGTACAAGAGTACCTGGTTGCCTACACAAGGGTTAACGACACTCGTGGATTTCTCGGCAGCAGCGTCGGATCAAGGGGGATCTATAGGCGCTGTAGCTCCGGGCCCCACGTTCCAGGGGGGCCCCGTTCTGAACCTTCCATTTCGTTACGATTAAATGTTATTTAATTTTATTTAAAACAAATTTCAATTTTTCAAGATTATGTATTTTGTTGCGCTGCGTTACAACAAATCCCTCCCCCGCTTTTCGACCAAGGTAGCCCTAAAAAATTTGATAGACCCAGGCCACAAAGAATCTTAATCCGAGCCTGCTCGACAGTGAATCATGCGCGACGCACTCTGCCCGAGCTTCTCACGCGAATGGCGGAAAAGGATATGCGAGAACATCTTCCGGCTTCCGTGACCGGCTGCAACATGCTCTACCTGCCGAACATCGGCTACGTTCTAGCCATAAACAAATGGAATCCAACTCCCCCCGAAGAGGAAGATATCCCGAATTTGGAGTTTAAATTCAGCATCAACGAGGTGCATTATTACAAGAGCTCGTCGGCGAAAGGTCAGTGCGACCCAGGCGATCTCGAAACGGACCACGATCTCTCGATCTTTCCACGCGATCCTTTTTTCGTTTCAGAGTTGGACGAGACCGTGGGCGACATAATTCTGAAGATAGCCGTTCGACAGAATCGCATCGTACGAAAATTAATACGATACGTGAAGAAACACGCCGGCCCGATTTTGCGGGCGATCGAGTTGTGCGGTGAACTGGACACGTCAGTGAAATCCCATTCGTGTAGAGAACACGATTATTGGTATTAGCCAGAGTTGGGCAGAATTTTATTCGAATAATACACAGTGAAAAGCAGTAGTATCTAAGAGTCTCGTCCTGAGCTTTAAACAGTTAATGAGATTAAATAATTGGTCGACAAATGTCAAACAATTAAATGTGACAAAATACTTTTTTTATCTTTTATGCGTTAGAATAATCTAGATAATGAGTTTGCTCATCTCTGGTATTAGCACAGACGAGGTATAGGAGTAGACATTTCATCCAATGTATTTTTTCGGCCCACTTTTCTGTGACGACGTCGCCCCATTTCCATTTTAGTGTCACTACCCACTGCAGATTCACCGTTCTCATAACGTAGAGGTCGCTAAAATCACAGGCTTTTTAAGGTGTCGGTACTACAGTTTAGGTGGGCCACCATAATATGAAATGTCTACTCCTATACCTCGTTTGTGGTATTAGATACGAAGTCTGGGTTGCAGACTGATGGCGTTCGCCAAAGTGGCGCGGGATCACGGTTACACGAGGCCGACCATAATCCAGTCGAAGATCATCGAGGCGAGAGAAGCGCGACATCCGTTGCTCGAGTTCTCCACGACGTTTGTGCCGAACGACATCCGTTCCGGAAACGGTGGTAGCCTGATCAAAATTTTAACGGGGCCGAACTCTTGCGGCAAAAGCGTCTACTTGAAACAGATCGGTCTGTTGATATTCATGGCTCACGTTGGCTCGTATGTGCCCGCAAGATCGGCCACGATAGGAACGGTCACTCGAATATTGACTCAAATGTCGAACACAGAGAGCGTCGGTTTGAACGCGAGTGCATTCTTGCAGAACCTTCGACAGGTATTGGACGATGATAGGTAGACTGCGGATGTTCATGCAAATACAGAATTTATTGTCTGATTTTACCAAAACTGGCATCAAACAGAAATTCCTTTACCTTATTAAGGATTCTATTAGGTTCAAAGTAAAACAAAACCGCGATCAAACTTCATTAAATATTTTTGTATAGCGAGATTTGAACAATTATATACGTTATAAATGAATAGAATTCGCAGTCTTTTGATGATACGGCTCGATTAACGCCGTTTCGCGAAAACGATCGTTCATATTTCAGATCAATGTGGCCCTTCGCGCGTCTACATCCGATTCTGTCGTTATCACGGATGAGCTGGACAGAGGGACGTCCGAATCCAGCGGATACGCACTGCTCGCCGCAGTGTTGAACGAATTCGCGGAAAAGGGGAACGAATGTCCGCATGTATTCGCGGCGACGCACATGCACACGGTCCTTGGTGTGCTTCCCCGAACGTCGCTGATTGAACTACAGGTAGTAATGGGATCGATACCAATACTATTGATGATATTCAATCGATTCGATACCCAAAGTGCTCAGTGGGAAGCATCGATACATACCGAAACATTGGGTACTTGGTATCAATACCGACTCTTCTTGAATCGATACCAAAAGTGTTTATTCGAGCCGCCGATTTACAGTAACTTACACGATTTCGTTTTCATACGGCTTCTAAATTCAAAAAAGGGAATATCTTCTGTTTTATTTCGATTATTATATTTATTTTAAAATAGGTATCGATACTCTCGTGTAGGTATCAAACAAGTATCGATACGTTCGGGTAGGTATCAAATAGGTATCGATTCTTTTTTATATCTACGTTTTTGATATGTATCGATACCGTATTGAAAGTTGGAGAAAGGGTATCGATAATATCGATACAGTATCAGGCAGATCACCAAGTACAGGTAATCGATCGACCTATCAGTTTACGCGAACGTACATGTCAGTCACGTTCGACTTGGTTCTCGTAGACATTCGAGTATGTTGTCAACCAAGACGAGTCATTGGCCTTTCTGCATCGACTGACCACTGGCAGCGCGGGTCGTAGCTTCGCCCACTGTGCCGCGAGGCTCGCGGAACTGGACGAGAGCATCGTAAAGCGGAGTTTAGAGGTATTAGATTAATGTTCCCGGAATATCTGTTTCCTGTCCAAGATAGCTTAGATATTCTCGTATTGCAGATATACGAGGCAACGAAGCGGAACGTTCTTCCTTCGCGGGTCGATCGACGCTGGGACGCGTAAGGATTTTCGGATCGATCCACGATATTGTTTGTCGTCAACGTTTTTAACGCGAGTTCTATTTCAGACTGTACCATATCGTTCAACTGTGCGAGAGTAGGGTCAACGTGGACTTGGAAGAATTAAAGTCATTGATTCAACGAGTCGTTGTTCCCAAGTAGCTGAGAACAGCCAAATACGAGAGACGTTTATTATTAAAATATCAATTCTCTGACGTCTAATGAATAAATATAGTCAACAATGTCTGTGGCATTATCTACGATAAATAGTTCAAGTTACTAGATAATTAATATAGATAACTATTATTGTTACGGTTGTAATTAATATTTAATTTGTTAATGAACATACGTAAAAGATACCGTACCACCATCTCGCAATACGGGTGTCGTACTAATTGGCTAGTAGCTTGGGAGTTTTAACGTGGATGGCGCCACAAGTCTGTTCAATCACCGTTATTGCGTTCTGTAAAATGAAATATTAATTCAAGTCCTCAGAACTAACGATTGTTAATGCCCATCATCAATTTCAAGTGGATGCCACAGACAATCTGACCTTGTCGGAATATATTTTTAATCCCAATTTTCGCCGTTTTTCAGGTGTTCTTATACTGCTTTGCATATTTACTTATATCCATCTAACAAGTAACCCTCCAATTAAAGCAGTGAATTGAACAACTATTTTGATCATTACAATACGTTTCTTCCCTTGAATATATTTACTTCTCCGATCCACCGTCGGTTAAAATAATTATCTGTCCCATTCCAGCCAATCAAGGATCACTATAGAAAACGAGATCACCCCTCTTCTGTCGCGACATTCACCGGTCGGTTTGCAGCGCCATGCTCTAATGCGGCACTTTCGGTAAAATCAATTCGTGCCTTTGAGGCGCGTTCCTTTTATTCACACGTCTGCCACCGTATATTCTAAGTCCGTTCTCCGTGGGTCTATCCTCTGCCTTATCTGTGGTATCGGCGTGGTGGGATAGCAACAACAACGTTCGAGGAGACGCGCCGTGAATCGTTCGTTCGATTCCTAAAACGTGTCGACAGATGGAACGAGAATGCAATTTTTCCACAACGTCGAAACGTACGGGTAGAACAGATGTCGCCCGTGTCAGCGGTTTGACCGAAAGTTGGCGCTCACAGTCTTTCCGTTGTCAATAACGGACAGTGGCAGTATCCCGGCACAAAATCCCGGAAACATCTCGTTCGTGAAAATCGACGGCTATCCGGATGTAATTTCGTGTTGTCGTGGGTCGGTCTGGACGTGCGTGGAGATTAGGGAAAAGGAGGCGTACTGTCGCGGTAGATACGCGGGACCACCGGTCGACGAGAAATTCGCGAAAACGGGCGTGCCTTGGACGGTCGGCGACGTCCCTGACGCGAAATAATACACAACGGTAGCACACACGGGCGACTGCAATCGCGGGGACTGCGACTGTGGACTGCGACGTGAACAGGGGAACAACGGTGACGCGAACTACCTCGGGTTAATAACGTTCAGGTGGAAAACATTCAGCTGACGAGGCGAACTGGGAACGGGATTCGACACCGGGGGAACGGTGTGTGCACCACTACACAGAAGAAAAGAAGAGACGTACCGTGTTACGGTTAGACGCATCGCCGCGCGATTTTGAATACGAACGGGGTCGTAACTGTCAACGGTCAGTTTCGTGAAGACTCGCGGAACAAACGCAGTCTCCAACCAACCGAGCAACGGTTCCCCCGAGACGGCGTGCCGTTTATCGTCGCGGTTATTCGCGATATCGCATTCCGTCGTTGGTTTATCCGGTGGATAACCGGGTGTTTTACGGTGGTGGCTACGGCGTGAGAGACACACGACTAAATGACCATGGATTACGGCATGTGCGACATCCAAACCGGATACAGCATTAATATCAAGAGGACGGACGGTGAGTAGAGATTCGCGTACCGCGGCGACCTAAGTATTTTTAGATATTTCCCGAGCGAGATCGGTGACGGAGGGTTTCTCGTGCCAACGTGAAACGATCATTCCGCGCGCAGTGACAACATTCATCGGGATCGGTGCATCTCTTCTTCTTCTTTTTTTTTTTTTTTCTTCTACCTTTTCTGTCTTCACCTCACGATTCCACCATGCGCATTTCGTTTTCGTCGAGGCGCCGACAATTGCGACCCCGCATACGTACCAGTACTCTCTCGGCCTTAAACGACCGTTACGGGATTCGCGCGTGGGTCGAACAACGTCGCAGCGAAACACACTCGGACCGGTTTCGCTTTCCTGTCGCGGACTCTCGAGTCCGTACCCACGACCATACCCATCCACCTACCCGTTGTGATATCACACTGATATCGGATCGACGTGTATCGACCACGAGACTTTGCCACTGCCTGATCGATCGAACGAACGTACTCGTCTCGACGATAATCGCGAGTGGATAATCAATTCGGCACGTTCATACACGCACCCCTCCGTGTACACCCACCAGCAAACTTCCACTAGGGGAAAAAGTAACGTAGTGAAAGGGCCTCCTACCATTTGGTAAATTTAATTCAAATACCGAGATAAATGTTATATTGAATATTAATTTGACATACATTTCACTAATTCCCAAGACCAACTGATAGAAGGCTCTTTTCCTGCACTGCTTTTTTCCCTAGCGGAAGCCGAGTTTGCTCGTCGGTGTACACCTGTTTACCGTACCGATCTTCGCCCTTGCCACGCGACCGTGTACAATTCGTCGAAGACAGGGAATATGTGTATTTGTTTTCTTTCTCTCGGTCATCAAGGTGGCGCACGGTTGCGCGTGGGAAATAGTAAAAAGAATCAACACGCGGTGCGGTTCCTCCGGCCCGATGAGATTTAGCTTAGGAAGATGAACGGGACGACGAAGATACCCTTTCACCGCGAGTTCGCGTATCCGTGTATCCGCGTGCAACGAGACCAGAACGGAACCAGTCTCTTTCGAGTCATTGATCGCGTTCCTCTTACGCGCTCCAGATCTCTTACGCGCGTGGATCTCGTGCCTGGAAGCTCTTAAAAACTCGTTCACGTGTTCCCCGACGAGAAGCTTCCTCCGTCGAGACCCCTCGGTGCCGATCACGCACCCCGAATCGATCGAAATCGGAAGGTAACGGCCTGCTGATTCAGTGGTTGCGCTTCTTGCGATCCCCCAGCAACCGATCGGACAATTCACACAAAGTTCGAAGTCGCGATCTTATCCCCCCTCGCCGTTCCATCGGCATCGTATGACTCAGACGTATGGCCAAGAAAGGAGAGCCCAGAAACGGTGACACTCGATTAACGAGCGCGACTAAATCCATTTTTCCCCTATCTAGGGAACTTAACCCCTTGCCTTGCAACATCGAGTCAGACACGTGGTAACGATTTCGAACTGTATTTACTGAACATGTATATTATTCGAGTTTTTTTTTTTTTTTTAGTCGACGTGAAAAATTGTTTTGCTGGTATTATCATTTAAGGTTGCGAATATATGTAACATTTGCCGTGAGAATAGTAATTTCTTTTGTGTCTGGGAAAATATTAACGATGTGGTAATTCTTGAGTGTGAAGTAAAAAACATCGCATAGCGAGGGGTTAACGATGATAGGGTGCACGGTGTTCGACCCTTAAAGTAACTCGATGCTAAATTTTCCGTAAGTAGTTATTTGAGAATAGAACGTAACCGGTCACGTGTTAGGAGGATATCCCAGGTATTCCCCGCAACAGATCAGTTTACTTCCGGCAACCGAACAAAGTAGACGCTTTTGGTTAATGTTTCGGTGTTTTTCACTTTTTGGCGTAACTGTGACCCCAGTGTCACCGTTCTGAAGCTCCAGTGAAGTGTGACCGTTATAAAACTCAAGTGAAGTGTGACCGTTAAGTGTTAATAATGATATATAAAATGTTGTACAAATTTCTAAAACGTATAATTTTCTGACAAGTTATAAAAAGATGTTGTATAACAATTTGTTATATAACACTCTTTTATTATGTAGTGTAGACGCAGCTTAATGCTGACATTTTTAATGAGGTTCAGCACAGTGATAGAAGAGCTTGGAATTCTGAAGTCAATATTTGTTTCAGTTCGATATAACAACCAGTTTATGAAATATTTAATGTCCAAGAGCCTTCGAACACTCATCGAGGATTTACTGTACCGTGATCGATGTTCTCTTGTTTCGCGAAATGTCGCGTTTGCTGGTACCAGAGTTGGGCAAATTCATTATCTACATAAAAAGTTTCGAATAACGAATAAAAGATAAAAAAAAGTATTTCGTCATTTTTAATTGTTTCAACGTAAAGATTTCAATTTTTATAATAAAATAGTACTTATTTATAGTAATTATTTAATCTCATTAACTGTTTAAAGCTGAGGACGACACCCTTAGATATTGCTGCTTTTCACTGTGTATTATTCGAATAAAATTCTGCCCAACTCTGGCTGGTACGCAACAAGTGGCCGTCACGCATTTCGCTCGATCGAAGAGCGAGGCCGACCGCGCAGCGTGTTCTAGTATATTGGCCGAAAACGTGGACCCAGTGGAACGGTCGATAGGACGGAAAAGGATCTCTGTTCAAATCGTCCTTGTCCGAAAACAGCGTGGTCGGGGCACGATGCCGCGACACGCGTGTAGGCGCCTGCATCCTTATAAGGACGTCCCGACTCGTGAGATTCCTACCGTGGCGTACGTTACCTTGTATCTTAATCCAATCTTGCGTCACTCAAAAAGACGGTTTTCCCCGAGATTTCGTTTCTTTTGGCGCTTCTTCACGTCCACCGAAGATTTTCGAACAGGGAGCTTCGAAATGGGATAATAAAGCGACACATTGTATAACGTCGGATCAAGGGGGGTTTAGGGAGGGGTTGGGCCCTGGGGCACACTTTCCCAGGGGGGGCCCCGTCTGTACCCTCCATTTCGTTATGATTAAATGGTATTTAATTTTAGTTAAAATAAATTTCAATTTTTTAGGATTTATGTATTTTGTTGTATTATGTATTTTGTTGTGCTGGTTTACAAAAGATCCCCCACACGGTTTTCAACCAAGGGGGGCCAGAAAGTCTAATAGCCCTGGGCAATAAAAAGTCTTAATCCGCGGGCCTGACCTTGTGGATAACAGCCTGTCACACGGTTGACGTTATTGTTTTTGTTTCAGGTCGAGTCCACTCGGCGGTCGTTTCCGGCGTAAATTGGGAACAACGGAGTGTCACTGTGGAATGGTTCGAACGGGGAGAAACGAAGGGGAAAGAGGTAAACGAGATGCGATCGCAAAAAACGATCCTCGGACGATGTCCCCGCCTGGTTGACTGTCTTTCGATCTACGGGGGCTGGGGGCAAAATGCTCGAGAACTCGCCGGTAAAGTTCGTGATTTCTAGGTGGAGATCGACGCAATCCTCGCGTTGAATCCTGAGCTTGTCAGTCAAAAAACGATGGGACCGCCAGCTCAGATAAACAACCACCCGGTGATGGCCCCCAAAGGAAGGGTACGTATGCGATATGGAAACCTGTATGCGACGTGCTCTGGTGAGAAATGGATTGAGGTGCGAAGAAATCGATTTGGAAATTTTTAGGTGTTTTTGTAGGCAATAATATGCTCTTTGCAATAAAACCAACACCAGTTTCCTAGAACTTTTTATATCAAAATTTGACCTTCAAATTCAAGGTCAACCTGTATCTTCACCAAATCGAAGGTGCAGAATCAGGCCTTTTATTTTTTTACCGCGACATGTAATTTCTTGACACCCTGTACATACCTACATACATTCTCTGGTCAATCTTAAATGAAATTTCTATCACCATGTAGTTGGAAATAATAACTCTGAAACGCAATAGAAAAGGCAGCTGAAAACTAGATCCAGACAATCCCAACACGGTGCTTTAAACGCCATCTATCCCGAAAAGTCGTTTCCGCACGTTAGCCTCTTTTTACCGGAGCACGTCACACATGGAGAATCGCCATTGGCGAGAAGTATCGTCGTTGAGCACGTATCCCGTACGCGACGTTACGTGGGATACGAGAGCGTCTCGCCGTTCTCGATCCACCGTAGGTCGGATCTTCCCGTAACGATTTTCAGCATCGTCGCTCGACTCGGTTATCGGAATCATCCGCGCTTCGGCTCTCTCGGTGTAGCCTGGTGTGTCACGCGGTGGTAATGTAGGTGTGCAGTCGTCGCCGGCTGCTTTCTATAGGATCAGACATAATGGAATTACGCACAAACGGGAAGAAAAATTTATTTAACACTTTAACTTCACAAATTCACAAACACAATACGCAATACTATAATTAAATTGATTAATATAATTCGTCGAAATTGTGCCGTCCGAAAAACACTACTGAAAATATGATCGGCATTGATATAACCCACTCTCTTCTCTCTCGCACTAACACCAAAATTATCCTCTCTCTCTCACAAACATGCAAGCAACTACCTCTTGTTATGAACAACTCAATCCTTCACGGCGGCAATGAATACAAAACAAGGTGTAACAAAAATGTTGGAAGACCCGGAAATGGGAGACTCGTGAAGTGATTTGAAACAAGTTTTTCCTTAACCAAAATGTTATCTGACGCTTTGTTGACGAGATATTAACGAAAAACCACGACCAATCAGAGCGCCAGTCAACCGGCTGAGTTCCCGCGGTAACGTTGTCTACCAATCGTATTCAACGTTACCGCGGGAACTCGGCTAACAGACGCGCGCTCTGATTGGTCGGGGTTTTTCGTTAATATCTCGTTAACGAAGCCTCAGATAAGATTTTTGCTAAGGAAAAACTTGTTTCAAATCACCTCACGAGTCTTCCAATATTTTTGTTACACCCTGTATATATATATAAAATTACCCTACATACGGCCATCCTACATTAGCCTCTGTCCTCAAAGACCGCGCGCACATTATAAATGCAAAATTACCCTACCCTACATTTCGTTCGGCGATTCTCACGAAAGCGCGTCGAAAGTGCCGCGGCTACATCGACGGAGTCACGCTCGTCGTACACACAGTTTCTGCTCGTGTCTCGCTACTAACACGTTAACATCTTTTTTCCTCCATGGACGCTGCTCATTATCACGGACTTGGGTCGACGATGGATCATCGACCTCGGAATCCCCGTCCAAATACCGATCGAATCCTAACACGATCTTGCATCTTCGTCTCGTCGTCGCGCGTCATCTGAAATATCTGACTGCGGGCTTCTGTCTCCTTAACCGTTTCCGGCTCGTCGTAACCGCCCTCTCGCCACGATCCGAAATATCGTCCGTTCGATATTCATTCTGGACCGCGTGGGGGGGGGGGGGGGGGGGGGGGGGGGGGGGGTTTAAAAAAAAACACAGGACTCTTCCGGCGAGGAGGACGAGGGGGTAGACGAGTCGGAAAGCCACGAGGAGGGCTCCCTTGGACGGCACGGTGGTCACGCGGCAAGAAACGGCCTTGCGTCCGCAACGCTTCCTGTACGAGTCACGTCTGCTCTTTCGGTAAACGGGGAACCCACGCAACGCGCTATTCTCTCATATACGTACATATATCTCCACTGAGGATGTTCGATTCCACATACGATTCTTCAGAAGGTCGATCCCTTGGTTAATACGTTATTGTCATGTATAACATGTACAGTAAATTCCATACTTTTGCCAATTACTGTATATCTCTTTAAGGTTATGTGGGTTAAAAACTGTCCCACCTTCTGCTCAGTTTTTTATGCATGGTGGGATATATTTTAACCCACCTCGAGAAGTTGAAGTTACTCATAATCATACAGTTTAATATCTTATTTTTATATAATTTTTTTTATATTAAAAAAAATTCTGCGCAACTAGGATTTTTATTTTCTTTAAAATCGTGTGCCTCAAAGAGATATGTGTTGTACATGGCAGTGACGTGTCACCCAAGGGAATCGATCTTCCGAAGAATCGAAACGGAATCGACCATCCCCAATCTCCATTCTTCGTTTCCCATTCCTGGTTCACCGAGGATCCGAAACCGATCGACCGGCGTATATACATTTCGTGAACAGCGCCCACGCTAGGGAGACACCACGGTATGAAACATCCCGCGAACGCCTCCGTGGTGTCCCCTCTATTTTCCCCCGCGCAACATCGATCGCGCTCGATTCCAACCCCCTGTCCACCGTGCAGTTTGCGGAACCAAACCGAAACACCTCGATGCGCCTAGTTCAGGGGTTGGTGAACTTATTTTGTAAAGGGTCGAATAGTTAATATTTTAGCCACTAAGAGCGTTATACCTAAGTAGCCGAGTAAATATTTTAGCCGAAACGTCGGCAACCTATCACCCTCGGGGTAAATGTTAATCTATCATTTATATTTTCTCAAAGTGTTTGTTTCATGTTTCTGTTTTATAATTTATTTTTATATATTACACTTTATTTGCGAAATTCAAGTGGGTCATAGGTTGCTGACGCCTGTTTTAGCCACTAAGAAGAACGGTATAGCTAACCCGTTATGGCGGGTACTTTCAAATTTTAAAAAATTTGAAATTGTAGAATCTAATCCGAGCTCGCTAGTAGTTTGCCGACCCCTGGGTTAGTTCAAACGGTTCGTCTTCGGATCCGCGTTTGGACCCCCGCACGAAACTTGTTTTTTTTTTTTCGATTCATCCCTGAAATCCTCTAACGGCTATCGTTCCGTACATTCCTGATCGCCATCAGATCCATTCATCACCGTTGCACGGATTCTCTTTATCATTTCCACCGCTGTCGCACGAAACGCTCGTCTAATACCTGTATCCTGAACGCAAAACGGGGCCCAATCGTGTCCCTCGAATACGCGGAACATCGTTTTCTCCAGAATTCTCCGTCGTTAGGATACTCACCGGTGACTCTGACTCGACTCGTATTCCCCTCTGATCGACGTGCACACAATTCGCTTGGCCTCTTAACGATCCAATGGATTTTACTTTAATTTTCTTTGTTGACAATCTCCGTTTACAGTACGCTAAGCTTTTTACCACGCCACGGCGATTTTCGTTACAACTTTACGATACGTTCTCTCTGTTTTCTTTTTCCAGCATTCCATCAAGCCGTCGATTCCAGTGAAAGGTACGTCGTGGCCAAACTAAACACCGTACTGGAAATATCTAGTGTTGCCGAAAAGAAAAGAAAGAAAAAAAAAAAATGATTTTTCCAAATCTCCGCTGGATCGATCGTTTTCCCAAGGGGAATGTACATACTTAACGGTTCCGTATCGGTTCTGCGGACGGCGTCGAGCGAATCGATTTCTCGGCAACTACCCGCGACGTTGTTACGAGCATGTGCCGTTGGGCATGCGGTGTGCACGTCGGAATACGTCTGGACAGTCTGTCGGAGTTACGTGCACGAGGGAACTCGTGGCTCCTCCCGGCTTCGAACTATCGACTTTTCCGCGGGGATACATGCATATAGAGGCGCAACAAGGGCAAGGACCTTGGACAGCCTGGCGACGTACGATACGCGCGAACAGGCTTCTTTAATCGTTCTTTCAATCTCCGCGATATAACATTAGTTTCGCCGATATTTATTTAACCTTCGCCTTTGCTTTCGCCAGCTCGGGAATCGATCCGAGCATAACAGGAGGGTGACGTACAGTCGTGTGTTCGCAACCGTCGCGGAAATCACGTTCTCCTCGACATGAGATTCGATCCGTTGGGTTACTGTTTCGGGAAGAGAAATAAGATAAACACCGGGTCCGACGGGTGTAACGAGGAAGAACTGTCGTCGTCTATATCGGAACGACCGTCGATCGTGCACGGTAATAACGGGGATTCGTTTAACCTTTTGAGTGATGAATACTCCCGGAAGTTGATACTGCCGATCGTTGGGGACGGAATACTATTTTTTTTTTTTTTTGTTTTGCTAATGTGAACTATGTCGATTTAATACGCAAGGCTTAACTAAGTTATCATTGTAATATACGCCAAATTAAATAATACGAGGAAGTTATTGTCGAACATTAATTATTTTGTTAAAAACAAGCGGAAGGTCGAAAAAATTTATAAACGTCTTTAACCCCTTGTCCTATGATTTTCTTGATGTCTGCAGTCTCCAGACTTACTTTATTATCAATAATTACTCAGAAACAAAATGAATTCCTGTACTTATCGCAACTGTATATTTACTCTAACAGTTAAATATTAATATCAGCGAACTAGTATTTCCCTTTGACTCAAAGAAAACGAATATTATTTCTGTTTGTTACAAGGCAAGGGGTTAATCCACACAGATAGCTTTCGATAGAGGCATATACAGGGTAAAACACGAATCGTGATCAGTATATCGTGATTATACCCAATTTTTTGTCAACTCTTTTTTTTTTCATGATTTTTCAAGGTCACCTTTAATTTTTTGCAAATACACCTATCTGTTAGAGGATTTCAAGACTCAACAAATCCTCTAACAGATATGCGTAAAAAAATTATATTTGCAAAAAATTGAAGGTGACCTTGAGAAATCATGAAAAATGAGTTGACAAAAAATTTGTTATAACCGCGTTAAAGATCTCTCGAAACCATGCTATACCTGATAAAAACATATTCGATCGGACTGCTAATAACAGAGTAATCTCCACTGATCACGATTCGTGGTTCACCCTGTATGTGTTCATTGCACTCAAAGGGTTAAAGACCACGTGGTAAATGTATCGTTTCCAGCGGGCTCCAACAGGCAGTTGTCGCGACATACCAGTCGGCCGACAAACATCATGCCACCCGCTGCGCCTTTAAACGGACACGGGGATTCGGTGACTGGATTGACGGTCCGTCGTGAGGTGATCGAAAACATACCCCCCACCCCGACGACCACGCCGGCCGCTTTCAGCGGGACCGCCGCGGCCACTCAGGCCAAGCTGAAACAGCAGCAACAGCAGCTTCAGCTGCAGCAACAACAACAACAACAACAACAACTGCAACAGCAGCAGCAAGCACAGGTGGAGAATTGCCGGGGAAGACGTTCGAACGTGGTCAAGGAGGTCGAGAGGCTGAAGAAGAACAGGGAGGAGAGACGACAGAGGCAGGCGGAGCTGAAAGAAGAAAAAGAGGCTCTGATGAATATGGATCCTGGCAATCCGAATTGGGAGTTCCTAGCTATGATAAGGTCAGTCGGTATCTTCTCACCACCTCACGGTGGTCCGAAAACGCGTTTTTATTGGGCCAAAAGTCAAAATGTATTATATTTTAGGGATTTTTATGCAAAACAACGTTTTCTAAAGTAATTTATAGAGACAGGAGCAAATGTAGAAATTATATTAGAATTTATATTGTTTAATATCTATAATAATTTTAATTTTATCATTAGTATTATGAAGTTTGTTTTCTTTTTATATTAATTTATATTCAATAGAATTAGGTATTTTATTCTTATTAAGATTATTAGGAATCGGAGTTTATCCTGTAATTGGAACCATACCTGATATAAACTTCGAACATTAACGTTTGGCCAGTAAAAACGCGTTTTCAGACCACAGTGCGGCCGCTGTGTATCTCCTAATACTTCTTCTGCATCGTTACACCGAGCTGAAACGAACGAACGTTCGATTTTTCCGCAGAGAATACCAGAACAGTATTGAGTTCAGACCGTTGCGGGACACGGACACCGTGGGGGACCATCAGATCACAGTGTGCGTGCGAAAGCGTCCGTTGAACAAGAAAGAGAACGCGCGTAAAGAGGTTGACGTGATCAGCGTGCCCAGCAAGGACCAGATGGTGGTGCACGAGCCGAAGGCGAAGGTCGATCTGACCAAGTACCTGGAGAATCAGATCTTTCGGTTCGATTACGCGTTCGACGAGACCTGCACCAACGAGATCGTGTACAAGTACACCGCGAAGCCGTTGGTGCAGACCATTTTCGAGGGTGGAATGGCCACGTGTTTCGCGTACGGTCAGACCGGCAGCGGGAAAACGCACACGATGGGCGGCGACTTCAACGGGAAGACGCAGGACTGCCAGAAAGGTATATACGCGATGGTCGCGAAGGACGTGTTCAAGTGTCTCAAGTTGTCCAAGTATCGGTCCTTGAATCTAATTATATCCGCAAGCTTCTTCGAGATCTATTCCGGCAAGGTATTCGATTTGTTGGCGGACAAGGAGAAGCTCAGGGTTCTGGAGGACGGGAAGCAGCAGGTATGCTTGGGTTTCGTAGAGGATAAACATACTTAGTTTGCTTTTATTCACGTTTAAACGTTCACTTGTCCCCGTAGGTGCAAATCGTCGGATTAACGGAGAAGGTCGTCGAGACCTGCGACGAAGTACTGAAGCTGATTCAGCATGGGAACAGCGCCAGAACTAGCGGACAGACCAGCGCGAACTCCAATTCCTCGCGATCCCACGCGGTATTTCAGATCATAGCGCGAACGTCCGGTACACACAAGGTTCACGGGAAATTCTCTCTGATCGATCTCGCCGGAAACGAGAGAGGGGCGGACACGTCGTCCGCAAACAGGCAAACTCGTGAGTGTCGCGATGAAAGAAAAATATTTGGAATCCTCGTGAACTGACTGTCGTTTCTTTTGTTCGCAGGAATGGAAGGCGCGGAGATCAACAAATCGCTGCTGGCCTTGAAGGAGTGCATTCGGGCGTTGAGCCGCAAAGGCACGCATTTACCATTCAGAGCGAGCAAGTTGACGCAGGTGTTGAGGGACAGTTTCATCGGCGAAAAGTCCAAGACTTGCATGGTAATCGGCTCGTTCGGGGTTTTATTTTTCCGGGGAATACAGGCGACGGTTACGCGATATGAAACGGTTGCTTTCTATTCGTAGATAGCGATGATCAGCCCGGGAATGAGCTCTTGCGAGCACTCGTTGAATACCCTTCGGTACGCGGATCGTGTCAAAGAACTAGCCGCGAACGATCCAACGGAAGTGAAGATCTCACCGACGGACGACGAACGGGAACCGAAGATCGAGGAGCAGTCCAACACCAGCGTTCTGTCGGACAGCGATCTAGCGCAACTTAGATCGCTGAACGTAAGTCTGAAACCACCGGAATTTTCGCTTTACGAATAGAATATATTCAGAACCGATATAGAACCTAAAAAGTAACTGTTATAGAACTCACATAGAACCTAAATAATACTGATATAGGAACCGTAACTGAAACGTATATAGCCGTACGTATAAATTTAGGTTCTTCCTAACAGTTATTCGGAATAAAAGTTCTTCATAACTGTTTCAAGAACCTAAACCGAAATCATAACAGTTTTCAAGCCCTGCTCAACAGTGATAATTGTATATTGCCGGGTCGTGAAAGCCTCAAATCTCTGATCACACGTATATGTTCGTTCCCTCTAGGAAGGCGAGATCTCCCAAGACCTGTACACGTTCCACGAGGCGGTGTCGGCGCTGCAGCTGCTCGAGGAGGAAGTTCTGGACACGCACAAAATGGTAATCGAAAATACAACCGGGTTTCTCAATGACGCTCGCACCGTATTCAGCGGGACGCACGAAGTAGATTACGACCAAGAAGGTAAGACCCCTCGCATTCGTGTCACGCAGTTTCCTTTTTCTTTTATTATTAAACGTTTACGCACGCGCTCGCATGTACGGGTCTCTCTCTCCGCTTCCGTGTTTTTCCGTTTTCGTTTTGCGTGAATGTACCGCGTCGCCGAAGATTGCCGATCCAGGTTCGAAACGCACGATGCGTTCCCTAAGTGCACGTTTTATTGCTCGATTAACACCTCTGTCGGAACACGTTTCTTTCTGTAAAAAAAAAAAAAAAAAAAAAAAAAAATCCCCCCCACGGTTGGAAGTTCGACGAACCTCTTGCTCGGTAATGGGAAATATGGTTCTCCCTTTTTTTTTCTGCCGCACGAACGAAAACGAAGGGGGTTTCGGGGGTAAAAGCAAGAACGAAACCGCCGCCACGTGGCTCCGGAGCGTGATCGACTGTGAAATTTTGCAACAGATCCGCGTGGTAAAGGTAAGGCATATACGAGCTGCACGGTTAAATGGAACCGGGATAACGGCCGGACCGGGACGACGACGACAACGGCGACGCTGACTACATCGACACGAAACACGCCTGTGGCATTGAACCTAGATACCTACATCGCATTGGACGGTGACACGCGGTTCGAGCTAAATGGGATCGTTGATACGATGACAAAGGACTCGTTAAAGTCACCGTGGAAGGACGAGACGATGGAGTACAATAGCAGCGTTAACACATCCGACACGGACTGCGAGTCGAACGATACCGATGCTCGGGAGGCGGACACAGTGTCAACGAACTCGAACGAGACGGTCTCGATCCGCGGGAACGTTTCGACCAGCAATGCGTCGAACGTGAACGCTTCGTGTTGGGGAAAGACCACGTCGCGACGTCGGGTCACCTTGTCCGGGAACAAAAGTCCGTACGCCAAGTATCATTGGTCCGGCAGGTTTAACGATTCCGCGAGGCAATCGTCCCGTTTCAGTTGCTGTGAACTCGACGGGACGAAGCCGTTTCCTTCGGCCTACCGCAACGTCGTCGACGATACCGATTACAATTATAACTTGGAAGCTTTCGAGCAGGACAAGCCGGCGCAGAAAACGAAACTGTTCTGTTGCGACCAGTCCAAGCTCGAGCACGAGAGCAACGGGAATTCCCGCGGTGATCGGTGGCCGATTGACGATCACGTCGCGAGTACTCGAGCAGAACACTGTCATAGACCGGGAAACAAAACGCACGAGATTTCCGTGACTCGTAAAATCGGGAAAATGAATCGTGACAGTTGTGAATTGTTTTGGTCCAGATGTTGGAGACTTTTTATTACTTTCGTTAAGAATCTGTTCCTGTTTTCTTTTTTACCCGCCATGTATGTGGTCTTCTTCGTTTACGTGAAAAAAACGCAAGACAAATAGAAGGTATTCTCGGTTCATCGAAAGGTCTTTCTTTGTATACAGGGTGTTCCAAAATAGTTTCGATTCCGGAAATGAGGGGTTCTTGGGATGATGTGAAATAACTTTTTCCTTTGCAAAAATGTTCTCCGAGGCTTCGTTAATATCTCGTTAACAATGCCTCGGAGACAATTTTGGTTAAGGAAAAAGTTGTTTCAAATCACCCCAGGAACCTCACATTCGAGTCGAAATTATTTTGAGACACCCTGTAATTTTGTATCGTTAAGTTTTCTATTCGCGAACATCCTTGTGCGTTCAGTTTTAATTGCGTTTTACCTTTAACATAAGACGGTCGGCGTGGGTGGACTACTTCTTTTTTTACTTTTTTATGAGTATCGATTCGACCTTGTGGTACGAAGACTTTGTTACCGCGACAGTCGTTTTTTGGGGGGGTTTTTTTTAAGTTAAGAACGTAGTAGCGAGTTTTTGAGAGGAAGCGTGAGAGCAAGGAGGCGATCGGTAGACGATTCAGGTGAAAGACTGTGCGTGGTTTCTGTTTGTATTTCGACTCGCACACAGGAATTTGTTACTCTGTTAGCTAGTCGTAAGGAGGGTCTCAGCCGAGCAAGTTTCACCGTAACGTCACGAACCGTTGCAGATTTGAGACGGAAAAGAGCAAAGTTTGAGTCGCCCAATCCAAGGACATTCTCGTTTCGTAGACATCTGATAGAGAGAGTACAGTTTTCCGACGGTACGAAATTATTATTCGATTCGCAATCATTAAAAACAACAACAAAAAACAGTCATCCCGATAATAATGTTCCACGCTTATCTTAATCCCCTTCGCCTGGAACTAATTTATCATATATGTCCGTGAACGTGTACGTTTTACCCAGATAAAATCCTCAAAAATAATGCTTAATCGTGGTGAAGCAAGAATTCACGGGAAACGACGCCGTTATCGATATCGACGAAAACTACGCGTCAATGATCTAACCACGTCGATTGACGCTTCTCGCCGAGCGAAGGATGACGTCGCAGCACAACAGGGTGAACGGCTCAATTTTTTGCCGTCGAGTATACTTACAAGTTGTTCCTTTTTTTACTTTTATTTAAAAAAAAAAAAAAAAAAAACAGCTTTTTCCCTGTGTACGATAAGCCTGTATTCGATTCACCGACCGTGTTTCGCTAACGATCGATTAACACGCAAGGCACTGCAAAGGAAAAAATATTTTCGATCCACCCGGATCCTAGAATGATCACTAGACAGCGGAAATTTATGGAAATTTACAATTTTGGAGACTAATATAGACAAAACAAAATTGCACAGATATTTCTTTTCGATACTATGTGTTTTAATATGTTAATAATAATGCATAAATAATATTAAATATTATTGGAATGCTTATTCTGTTATGTTTTGCAAGTCAGGGAACGTTATAAATGCATAAACATCCGCTGTCTAGTGATCACTCGTGTGTTGTTATCCGTTGTTAATAAATATTATTTTTGTGGATTCGCAGTCTAACAGTACATCGTGTTTTACCCTCGTACTAATTCTTCCAGCCTGTAATAACTCGACGGAAGCGACGACTTTGACGTGCGTTTCGTAACACGTCAAAGGATCACCGCTCGGCTTTTATGTGTAGTGTATGATTCGACGCGTAAAGCTGCGTCTACACAATATAACATAACAAGTTATAAAACTTATTAGAAGAACAGAAAGAAAAAAACGTAATATTTAAATGCGAAATTAAATGCATTATTAATAATTAAATGCGAAATGTTACACAAACTTGTTACTGACTTGCCTAAAAGGTATAATTTTGTAACAAGTTATAAAAACATGTTGTATAACAATTTGTTGTATAACACTCTTTTATTATATAGTGTAGACGCAGCTTAACGATCCTCCTCCCCCCGCCCCCAACCAAACACACGCTTGCGTTCACGCCAACTTCATTCGACCTTTTCTTTTTTTTGTCTCGACTCACGATCATAGACATAAAAATATAGACTTTGCATCTCCTTTAAACGGGCGTCCCAAGATTAGAAAGAGGAAGATGATAGCTTTCTGAGGACATTACATCTCTTTTTAAATTTAAGTAGTGAGGGGTGAGGTTCTAGAGATCTGCGTTTCGAATAGTTTACTCAGCTATATTAAAGATAGTCGTCTCTTTCTAAAGTCGGGATGCCAGCCCAGCCTGAGGACCAGTCTATATTTCTATATCTCGACTCACAATCCACGCGACAGAGTTGGGTAAAAAGTAATCTAATTACAAAATCCAAATCACAATTACAACGTAATTACAAGAAGATTACAGTAAATCCTCTATGAGTGGTTGAAGGATGCTCTGCACTGAACATTAAATATTTCATAAACTAATGACAATATACGGCTGAACCAAATACCATTGACTTCAGGATCCCACGATCTATCACTGTGCTAAACCTCATTAACACTAACCGTACCGACCGCCGGTCAAATGACCGGTTTTATATATAATACCGGTTTTTTTTTATAAATAAGTATATAAAAGTCTCGGTACGATTAGTGTTAAAAAGCCAGCGTTCCACCTGGGGACTTCTCCCTGTCAGTGCCGAGGTGCCTTCGAACACTCATCGAGGATTTACTGCCCATTATAATTGACTATATGAAGTTTGCAATAAAAATTACATTGTAATTGCAATTTAGATTCTGTAATTAGATTACATGTTGCCCAACTCCGCCACGCGACTCGATACCCCTCGAAGCCCCGTAACCACTGAACGTGTGTTCTCTGTTGCAGCGTATGCCCAGAAATGGGAGCAGTTACTGGTGCAGCAGCGTGACACCTTGAACGCCGCTATTGATCAAGTGAGTCAGTTTCGCGGGCAGCTGCTGCAGGAAGAACAGATCAGCCAGAAGATGACGAAAACTCGTAGTATACGGTACAATTAAGATGGATTCTTTCACGAAAGATAAAGAGAGAGAGAGAGAGAGAGTGATGGAGGTGGAATCGCGCGGTACATCACGGTTACTCACACGGGAATCCAGCGACGACACTTCAACGGGGGAAAGGCTCGAAAGGGAATCGGGGGATGCTAACGGACAGATACGCAGCAGCAAGAATTTTCGATTCACAAGAGCGCTCGTTCATAAAAAAAGAAGCGTAGCGGTTAAAGCGTTCGATTCCCGCCCGGCCCGACTCGTTTACGTGAAAATACTCGCGAATAAAATGGACAATGAGACGAGACCTCGCCAGGGTAATTAACAACACCGCCGTATACCGTCCATTGCTCCACCGGTCGTTTGCCACGTTTCTCCCCGTTTCTCTTCTGCTTTGCCTTATTCATCATCGTATTCACATTATCTTCCGCCCTCTCCTACGCCTCCTCTTCCCCTCCAACGATCCTCCTCCACCTCCTCTTCCCCTCCAACCATCCTTCTCCACCCCCCTCCCTCTCGATTCTTTTCTCCGACCAAGCGCCAATGTCGATGACGCGCGAATCTATCCTCTGCGAGCGAAACTGCCACCTCGAATCGATGGCCACGAATAGCGAAACATTCTTTCAGTCCTTTGGCCTTTTGCTAACGAATGATCGTCATTCTTTTGCGCTATTTATCCTGCGTACACGTTTCCCCGTCGATGTGGATTCAACGTGTGATTCGTTCGTGGTTTTGAAACGCGGGACGTTTACCGTATACACGATCAAATCGAGCCCCGCGGCGAGCAAACGTGTTTCGTCGTGCGTGCGCTGTTTAATTATAATATTCGTGAAAGAGAAGAGGACCGAGAGGCGAGGATGTGGCGACGCTACGAATTCATCCCACTGGCCGATGTTATATACTCTTCCGCGTTGCTTTTCGATACGCGAAAAATCGCATGTTTTTTTTTTTTTACCTTCCCTCCAAAGTACCCGCGTGTCTCTGGACATCGTCGTTTCCCCGTTCTTCGTTAGTCCGTACGTTTTCACGATACGTCGATTGAAGTTTGAAAAAAAAAAGAAACGAACGTGCAATCCACTGTGCACGCGTCGAAATATAGCTACTTTCCTCGTTCGAATAAATTTTTCGGAGGATAAATTCTTGTCCGCGCGAGAGAATCATAAATATTTTCAAAGTGCCACCGTCGTTCTCGAAAGCACTCTTTATTCGTTGAATGTTTTTTCACCTTTCCATCGGCCGCGTTCGATTTGTCCGTCGATATGATGCAAAAACGGCAACGGTTGAATCACGTCGCGGTGAACGTAACGCATTGTATTCTGAGAAATCGCTGTCACGTGACAATCGCGTAATTTCAAATTGTTAACTTCATCGCTGTCTTCATTTGTATCCGATCGTGGACGGACCCGGTGTGAATGCATACCCGTTTTCATAAATAATAACCTTCGTACGCTGATTTTGTAAAAACGTGCACACGCGCGCTCTCTCCTACACGGATCATTCGTATATTCGCAGTGAACCAAATAACGACTGATTTTGAGAATATAATTCCTAGCTTGTAAGAGAAAAATAAAAGATTGCAGTGCAGAAGAAATCGATTCGAGGATTTAGAATAGACTGTACAACTGTTTTAGACAACTTTCTTTTTTTTTCGTACCCCCCCCGCGAGATATAATCGAATGCAACGTCCACAGCAGTTTTTTTTCATTTTTATTTTCTTCCCTCGTTCGAACGCATTTTTATTTTTCGTTTTCCGCCGATGGAGCGCGAATTACACGTTGTTTATACGCCGGAGCAATCTTGTAAACGACTCCCGTGTTGTGTGTGTGGTTGTCTCTTTAGACGCCGTGTTTTGTAGTCCGAGAATATCGGTCGAGGAAAGAAGGATTTTAAAGAAAACCGTTTCTCGCTCGGGACGAGAACATCGAAAACTCCTCCTCCGAGACGTCGTGTGTCGAGTTCGATTAAAGTTCAACGATTCGTTCTGTCACATGGGATCTCGAGAACAGCACAGAGATCCTAGAGTGCAGTGAAATACGGAGAGGGTAGTATATGAGAATATAAGAGATCGAATATTAAAAAAAACCTCAAAGGTGGTAAAACCGTCGACTCGCGTTGTTGGTAAAATATGATTTTTATAGAAATGTATTTATATAGGTAACCGCGTTGTAACGCAAATATAGTAAGAGAGAGTGTGTGTGTGTATGTGTGCGTGTGTGTGAGTGAACGTCGAGTGAAAGAGAGAGAAAGACGGAGAGAGAGCAAAATTGGAACGTTTTGCGTATCAAACGCAAAAACGGTTCCGTTCGCTTCTGATGCGTATTAAAAATTGAACACTCAGCTTAAAAGAAAAATGGTACGAACTGCCTCTGTGTCGTTTCTCTCTTGACAAAGCACCGATAAATATTTCGTTAGGCAGGCAGACGTTAAGATTTGTAAAAAAAAAAAACGAGTTTGATGCGGCTCCTCTATGCTTTCGAACTGAACCAAATAGATAACCGGTGAGAGGATTTCTAGAGAAAAAAAAAGAAGGAAGTATCGGCTTCGAATGGATCGTTCGGTTGGTCTCAATTTTTCAAGAAATCTCTTCGTTGTAGTTGCATTCTGCGGCAACCAATCCCCTTTTCTGGCGAGCATTGGTACCTAACCCAGCAGCCTCTCCGCGCGTGTAGTTGAACGTTCCAAAATCGTCAGTCGGTGCTGCAAGTATTTTTGATAATAAACTAGTTACGAATGGAAAATGAAGCAAAAAATATGATAACGAGACACGGCCGACGGCAATTTTTGTTCGTCGTTTCCTAACGTTGCATGTTTTCTCCCCCCCCCCTCCTCGTGCGTGCGCGCGCGCGCGCGAGACGTGAATACATTATTCTGTCGCTTGATAAATAAAATAAACGACGATCGTTTTGATGAATAAAAAGAAATGGCAGGTCCGTTTAACGTACCAACAAGTGTATTTCAAAAGAAAAAAAAAATTTGTATCCAACAAGGCCGTAACAAAATACACGAACAATGATTTCCAAAATAACATGTTTATTAAAAGCTGCGCGTATATATATATATATTATGTATATAGATATTTACATTTATGCATCGCAAACACCTTGACCAGCAAGTGACGATTGCACGTTGCTCCACAACTTTCAACGAAACTTATCCGCGTTTAAAATACATTAAATACATATACGTATTCATTTGCGCTAGTATGCGGTCTATCGCGAAAAATGTATATTTCGAAAGGTAGATATCATACGCCAATACAATGGATAAAACTAATACATACGCACCTGAGCAATAACGCTTAATTTTTCGGTTACAATCTCTTTTTTGTGGTTTTCACGAAACGACACCATTATCGTAGAATTTTTATTTTCCATCGCTCTAGTCGATAAAAGTGATATCAAATCTTACCATTCGCGCCCAACAAGTATACGAAGTAAAATTTTTTTTTTTTGTCTATATTATGTTGAGTACATATTTCGGAAACAAATAACAGTTGTAACCGAAAAAATAAAACGACATCGGACACACATGTGCACCGAACATTTTATCATTATTATCATGCGTCGCATTCATCCCGCAAGCATGCACATCTTCAACCACGCACCCTTGTATATTCTCCTATATAAAATCACAGTTTTCGATCGGGTTTCACACTATACTCGATTGTTTCCGTGCGTTGATTCTCTGACGTGTAAGCACGATAGAATTTGCACCGGAAACTAGGTGGAAGCATTTTATTACGGCAAACGGTCATCATAATAACCGATTACGATTATTAGTTTTTTTTGTGAGAACGTTTGGATTAGAAACTGTTTGCTTCAGCGGACGAGTTACGGCTAGTATTCTTTGGTTTATAAAATATTTTCTTTTGTTTTAATTACTGTGTTAAACGATCAACGATTCTTTCGTTCAGTCGTCGTCGAAAGCGTCGGTAAGGTCGCTGGTCTTCTCCACGGCGATTGTTCTACTTGTCTCGGGGAACAAAGTATCCTGACTGAGAGCAGGCACTTGCCTGGAGAATTCGCTGGTCGCCCACAAGAACAGATCTAGAGTTTGTTCCGTACACTCGGCTATAAACCGAATGAATGGTCGGACGTCGCCTGTGTTCGCGATTTGAAGATGCTCGTAATACGTGTGTCGATGCTGTTTATGGATGATAACTGGTGGATAGCCAGCCTGCATGAGGATCATGTTCATCAGCAACCGAGACGTTCTGCCGTTTCCGTCCGAGAACGGATGTATGTGTACCAACTTGTAATGCGCCAGCGCCGCGTACCTATTCGAAAAAGTACACGTGGCGTTAGACGGGACAAGTTCAATAAAGGGGATCTGGTATTATCCGGAAACTAGGGTAAAAAAAAAATCAATTACTGACACTTTGAAAAATTACATTATTGCATAATTTTTGTATTAACTGACCAAAACTATATGTTTTTTTTATTCATTATTATTTAATATGTTTAATCGAAGTAAACCCTATTATTCGTTTACCTGACCGGATGCATTCGTATGGCCGTTTCGCTGTTGAGCCATAGCACAAATTCTTCCATCAGATAATGTATATCCCCGGGACCGGGTGGCACGTGACCGCCGACGTACACTTGCGTACGTCGGAAGTGACCACCCTGAACGGGATCGACATGCCCAAGCACCCGTGTATGTATCTCCAGGATGTCTTTAATGGAAATAGAGCCGACTCTGTTAACCAACGTCGCGTTTATGTACTTCATGGCAGCGTCCAGCCCTAGGATTTCATTGTGCTCGTCGATGCTTTTGCCGGCAACCGCGATACGCGTCTCGACGATCGCCCTGGTCTGAGCTAAGTTCATCGTGTTACCCTCGATGCCAACTGTGTGGTAAATATGTTGAAAGTACGCCTCCTTCTTGGCGCGTATCAGCGCCGCGTTGTTATCCGGTATCGCTGAAAGCGCGTCTCGTTTCTCGTCTATACGCCCGAGGGTTCTACGATCCAGCTCCTCGACCACCCGCGCCGTTCTCTGGCTGTTAATCAGCGCCTCCTCGTGATTCGGTTGGTAATTCAGCGCACGCGCGTAATACTCGTTCGCTTTGATCACATCGTTCTGCGTGTACTCTAGAAACTCTCCGTAATGATTGAGAATATCGGGATGACTTGGCGCCAATGCGACAGCGTGTTGAAATAGCTTTACCGCTTTCTTTTGTTTCCCGGACAGCTTCATCTCGAGCGCCAGATGCAAAGACGTCAACGCCTCCGCGGTGGACGTCGCTCGGCTCGCGATCTCGAGCCGATCGTACGACCGTGAAGTCTGCAACGCTAAGTCCAAACTGTTGTCGTCGTATACGTTCAGCATGTTCTCCGATGGGATCGGAATAAATACGTGACGATAATCGCGATGCTCTGGAAACAAATTATGCGTCATGGCACCGATCATCATACCCAAGGACCGCGATGGACGTTAGAAATGCGACGAGGTTAGGAATGCGAGAGTAGAGGCTACTGTATTAACACTTACCAGGCATCTCGGTTGAGAAGTGTTCGATATAATAACGCGACAGGAACGCGCTGATCACGGCGACCATGATTCCCAACGCGAACACGAGAAACACGACGATACGATTCGCTCTCATAACGACGCTCGCATCTTCCTGACACCTCTTCTCTACGTAAACGGGCTCCCCGTTGAACGTGAACAGCAGGATCGACCGCGGCACCAGCATGTTTTCACAAACAGTTCGCAGGAAACGCTGTTCCGGGCCACGACGACTCGCGTCACGCTACCGAGTATATTCTTCAAATATTCTGCTTTCATCGTGAACAGGACTTAGAATCCTATATACTCGCAATACGAAACCTCGATAATCGGTCGATCCATGTGGTTCTTTTCAATTGGTCTGAATCAGCAGTCTGATTGGTCTCTGGAAACTCGCTGGCATTGGCGAGCCACCGATAGATGTCGCCAGTGTGAGCTAACTGTCGCGTTCTTAGGACGATACAGCGACGTGCGATGTTCTTGGAAAGATGACGTTTACGTCCTTTCGGTGCGCAGCTACGATTTTCCGCGACATGCAAGCGTAACAGTATATCGAGGACGAATATAAACGCATTAAACTCTCGATGGAGGTTATTCTCGGTGAACATGATCGCATTTGAACGTTGGAAACGAAGTACATACGCGGCGGGAAATGAAGCTTCGAGCCACGGGAGGTATAGGGATCAAGAGATCGTTCGCGAAATGAGGTTTCACGCGTCGAGAGAGAAGTGGCCAGACGAGATGCGTCGTGCGAGAAAACTATACATATAGTAGCAAGAAAGAGTCTGAGAGGAAGAGGGAAAATAAGGCGAAAGGATGCGTGCGGGCGATTCAACGAGGCAGGCGGGGGTACAACGCGAACGATGAGAAGGCGAGGTAAGTCGACGGCGCGGCGAATAATAGTCGAAACGACCCTGAAACCGAGGTCATTGTTGTTCGTTGGCCCGAACAGCGCTCGAGTGCGTTCGTTCCCTGATGCAGTTTTACGTCGTGAAACGTAAACGATGTTCGTTCGTGTGATACGGCTGTGCCCGCTCGGTGAACAACCCGCGATTGCAGCCGTGTTGTACGTAAAACGCGACACCGAGAAGACGCGCATCCGTTTCAGCGACGGGAATGTAACGGGGGTGCCGGTAAAACTTGCGATCTAATCTCTGCTCGGTTTGATTTCGCGTTTCTACGCACGAGGGCGCTAGATATACGTTCTTGAAAGTCGTTTGCACATTGCTTACGGGCAATCTCGTTTATTTAGTCCTCTGTGCAAATCGTTCGAGGGGCATGGGAAAAAAGAATGTTCCGTCGACCGAGGTCGAGTGGAGCGATATTCGATCTTTTCCTTTGGTATACATTGTAACGTCCTTACAAATGTATCGAGCCTGTGTGCGGGTTGGGAATTTCTGTCGTCGACAAGGTCGTACAATTTTGGATTTTTTTTAGAGGAACCGACGAGTAAAAAGATCGCCGAGGTCTCCGCCCCATCAACGCCGGCGGAAATGGTACGACGGCGGCGTAGAGAAACGTTCTTTTCTCTCCCCCGAAACGTTGGTTCGTAGCACCGACCGGTTCTGCTCTAATTGCGTTTCCCTCGTACTTCGATCCCTTCGTTCGTCCGTCACGGTTCCTCCTCCTCGGATCGTAGCAACTGCGTGCCAGACCACAGCCGTCGAACCGGGACACGCTCCCGAATTTCGAACCGAAAACCAAACCTTCAATTCCCTCGAACCGAGTTCCCCTCCCATCAAATCAGTCCGAAAGAACAGAAACTCGTTTCCATCGTCGACCGCTTAATATCCGCGAATACGCACCGTAGTTCCGAGTACATACGTGGGGGACATCTTGGCGTTCGACGACCCATCCGAAATCGTTGCGATTCGAAGATCAAAATGTTTATCGTTCGGTAAATTTATTTCAAATAATGAAATAAATATTAAACCGATTATTAATTTGACATAAATTTCATTTACTTCGAGACTAAGCGGTTGGAGGTCTTTCCCTTACATCACTTGTTCCCCTAGTGAAAACCGAGTTTGCTCGTGAGGGTAAGGTTATGTGTACATCCGAGGGCAGCATACACGCGATTCATCCGAGAACGATTCTCGGGATCCCCGTATTCTCCGATGATATCAGGATCGCGGAGGAAAAACGATTTCCGCCGTGCATATGTAAAGACGGCGCGCGGCGTTTGACCGTACACAGCACTCGCCGCGTGTCCCCACTAACCTATGGACTCAACGGAAATATCCATGCGTTCGCGTTGGTTTTCCTGCTCGATTAGTTGGCAACGTGTATCAGCCTCTCCACCCCCCCCCCCCCTAGGGG